TGAGAATTTGATTCCTCCTGTCTTTGGTTAACAGTTTGAGTTTGATTCCTCATGTCTTTGGTATTGAATCATTGTAGAATGGTTGATTAGTTTACTGGTTTTAGAATGTGATTCCTTCTCTCTTTGGATTTGATTAATTGTTCAAACATTGTTTGATTGCTTAACTGCTGCTTCTGGTTTTAGAGTTTGACTTGTTGTTTTCTGATTTTAGCGTTTGATTGCTTAACTGCTGCTTCTGGTTTTAGAGTTTGACTTGGTGTTTTCTGGTTTTAGCGTATGATTGGTTAACTGCTTGCTTATAGATGTTTTGTTTTGGTTTAATTTTCAGTGTACACAGACTGATCCGAAAGGAATCATCTTTGGACTTGGGGAACTACCTCTGATGGTTGACAGCAAAAAGGGGAAAGAAAGCTTTGCAAGCTCCACTGTGCCGGAACTTTCACTGATCCAAGACCAACTACAGGAAGCTCAGCGTAAGATTGATGCTCAAGAGGAGGAAAATGCTCGGCGTGATGAGGAACACTGCAAGGCTCAGGAAAAGATCTCTGAAATGTCAAAGTTTCTAAGGTACTTGAAGAACAAAGATCCCCTCAGCGCAGAATACATGGATAAACAAGATGAGCAGGAGAACAATCTCACCGACGCACCAGCCTCTGCACAAGACAAGGAACCAGGCAGCACACCACTCGATCCACCAGCACCAGCCACCGCTTAACTCTCCCCTTATCTCAAACATGAACTTTTTATTTCTTTTGTTATCTTTTGAACATACAAATATTTTTTTGTGTATGCTATTTCTTATGTTTTGGATTTTATTAATCTATGGCTTTTAATGTTTTAATTTTTTCAAAACACAAAACAATTGTGTACATTGTGACCAAATCTGTGACCAAAACTGTGACCAATTATGTGACGAAACTTGTGACCAAATTTGTTCTATAGTTTTTCCGTCACAAATTTGTGATACAGGAGTCGTAAATTTGTGACGGAATTGCGTCGCTTTACTCAACGATATCAAAATATAATCGGATTAAAATTGCAAATTCGTCACCCTTTATCGACTAATTTGCCACTCCCAGAGTAGTCGCTAATCTATGACCACCTAATACTGTCGCAAATCGGTCACAGTTATGACGAATTTAAGACTCCCAATTATAAGTATATGACCTCCTAAAACAGTCGCACATCGGTCACTTGTATGACGAACGTAAGCGTTATAACTTAGTCGCATTTACGTCGCTATATTACTACGATAAATTTTCGTCTCCATTTGTCACACATATATGACGGAATAATATCGTCACGGATTAGTTGCAAATAAGCGACGGGTTTGCGATGGATCTATTTTGCGATAAAAAATTAGCGACGCCTTTTATTCGTCCCAAACCGTCGCAAAAGACCT